ACCAGCTGTGAGGGCGAATTTGCTCAGCTGGTTTGACCATCTAGGGGAAAGTTTTTCTAATAAAGAAGTTCAGTTCTTGACAATTAGTCTACCCTGGTCCCAGAGGTTTTTCTTGATTTTTCTACGAGAGAGCTACAAGAGAGCTGTGAAGCGGTGAAAACACGAGTTGCGAAGCGGCAAGAAAGAAAAATCTCTGGTTACTTTGGACTTGAATCTCACTTTCATGCAGACGCCAGGGTCAGGATCTGACCCTAGGGCTCGGATTGGTTGATATTTCTACAAACACGCAAATCAATATGACTGGTTCGTTTGATTGGTAACACCGAGGGGACGGTGGGGATATCTGTCACTGCACTTCTTGAGGTAAATTTTGCTTCTGTACCAGGGAAGGAATTTGTTTGCAAAATACTTCAGTTCTCAGTTTACATACGTTCAAGATTCGCCTGTGCTTGACATGGATTATGTTTCTGACAGTGTCTTTGAAGAATTTTGACTTCAGTACTCGAGGAGCATTTTCCAGAGATTGAAAGTCTCACCAAACATCAAAAGAAAGCCTTGCTCACAGTCATAAATTGCAAAGATGTGTTGTTTACCATACTGCCAACCAGACATGGAAAATCAATTATATTTCAGTTGCTCCCTGATGTCTGCAAATACCTGTACCTCTCAGGTTATTCATACCCTCATCATGCCACAATTCTGGTTGTGTATCCTCTAAGTCTTTCGTGGACTCTTGTATCCGTGAACTGCAAAACCGTGCCATTTCAGTGGCCAGTTTGAGCAGCGGAGACAAGAAGTTTATGCCTTGCTATTTGGAAGTCCCGAGTCCTTCTTACAAAATGAGTATGTGGAGAAACATGCTCCGTAGTAATGTTTAACAAGACAGAGCCTTCGCGATCGTTGCAGATAAAAACATTAATTCTTGCAAACACGCACGTTGACCCCGGCCAAGTAGGTCAAGTGATACCACTCTCCACCATCCGTGTGGAAACCATTAGCGGCTGATAACTAATTATCAATTTGACGCATTTGACAGCTGGCGTCTGCATGAAAGTGAGATTCAAGTCCAAGGTAACCAGAGGTTTTTCTTTCTTGCCACTTCGTGACTCGTGGTCGCCGCTTCGCAAAAGGAAGAATAATCAAGAAAAACCTCTGGGACCAGGGTACAAAATTAATAGTTTTGTCTGCCTGTGAAAACTAGTTGTCCTCCTGCTGAAAACATTAATGAAACCCCTGCACTTGAGAGCAGCAATCTTGGTGCGTGCACAATGTAATGAACCACTGTCCCACAGAGACCTAAAAAGGAACAATGCTTTCTATTACCTCGTGATGTCCATTACATAGAGCTCGTGCACCTGCCTCATTATTGTCATCATCATCATCACTATCACTGTCACTTGTCACTGCTTTGCTTTTGACACACGGTGTAAGTTTTTGTCTTGGAGCTGAACTAATTTCTTGTTGGATCTGCTTTGTGTTTCCTTCCTTCCATAGTCTTTGAAATGCACACAGTTTCTGAACAACCTAAAGAGCACAAAAGTAATTAACTTTCTCTTAACACAGGGACATGTATGCAGCTAATTAAAAAACATTAGTTAACAACAAATTATAGGCCATATTTGTATTCTCGGTATTAGACTGGAACTACCTTGCAATGGAGGCTTACGCAAGGGAATATCATCAAAAAGAGATAAATGTGATTTGGATTTGAAAACACTCCCTGCATTAACCTCAGTTGCAAGCTAGTTCTAGTCTAATGCCATGAATACACATATGGTCTATTACTGCAACTTTTCTGTTTTGAATGGCAAAATGGCCATGGGAATATGTCAAATACAAGCACGCTGTATTTTGTGTAATACGGTCAACAATAGTCAAGTTTTTCTTTTAGAAATTTTGCTGACAAAAATTCTTCTTTCCTAACTGAAAAACTACATTGTGTACTTAACCTACTCTACATTCTTAAATTGCCGGTCAGATAACTTTTAAACTATTAATCAAGAGTTCAAAAATGACATTTGACTAATGAGATTTGCAGTTTACCAGTCTTCAAAGGAATCTTAAACTGATAACCTTTAATTTCAGACAAAATGCAGATTTAGAAAATAAATTACAGTAACTATGAATTTAGCTAACCTTTGGTAAGCTTTCATCTTCAGCCACAGTGTGGAATTCATTGAATAAAATTTCCTCAATATAATCTTCTAATTCATAATTTTCTATGGTTTCTGAAAAAGAGTAACATAAATCGGCACAAGCATGCACATGTACTATATGTATATAATATATGTGCCAATTAAAATGTAATGTTAGTGACACAGGGATTAGCAACACATGAAGAGGTAATAACGCTTCTACAGAAAGCCTGTGAAAAGCTCCAATAATTACTCTTTTGGACAATCTTTTGGACAATCTTTCAAAACTAAGTATCAGCTGTAAAGATGTAGACACTGAAGCTTGGTGGACTTTTCTCAGCTGAATATTGCAGCGTCAATAGGGCCAGGAGCCCAAGAAGTAACAGAAGTTGTATTAAACGGTGGATGACTTTGGTGGTTACAGCTGATACTATGTTACTCCTTGTAAAATTAACTTCAATAAATATCATTTGACTATGTTTTCGGAAGTTGCAGAAACTTCCAAGCCACTCTTCTGCAACTTCCCAAAACACACATGATATTTATCCTTACTTTTACTCATTCTCATGCGGTAACCCATACTAATTATTGATAAATATTAATTAATAAGATTAATCAAAGACCTGTGACCAACTAGGCACTGGGTATTTCACATGCAATCAAATCAGGCCATGTTGCAGCTCTCGTAAGGTCTCACATGAATGGCTTGAAAGCCTTTGAGAGGACAATAGAACAAGCAACAGAAACAATGCCCCTAACAATAACAGCTGCAGCAGTAATAAAACAATAACAGCTTACGAGGGCTGCTACACTACCGATCAAATCAACCATATGACTCTTTGGTGAATCTAGTGGCAACCAAATTTCCGAGACACCAAAAGTCATTGGAAGAATGATACTGCTAGGCTATGTCAACATCACGCATAACTATAAAGCTTCTACTTGTATGATCGACATACATGTGTTTGTGAAATAAAATGATAAAAATGTAAGCCTGAAAGTAAAAAATGTGTACTAAACGTTTACAGTCTAGCCATCACGATCATTAAAACAACAACTCTGATTATGATCTTGTTAACAATCATTGTAAATAATGGAAAAGTATGGATAAGTATTTAAATGGGTAAGACATTTCACGGCTCGACCGGCACTGCTGTAAAAAGGTACAGAACACGTGAACGGTTTGAGAAGCTTCAAAAATATGAATACTGACCATTTTCTCTTAGCACTTGGTTTATAACATTCACCATCCATTCTGCTTTTTCGGCAGTGTCCCTTCCTCCGAATCCATGTTCTACGGCTAGTTGTATGACTGTCCAATTGCTTAAAACAAACCGAACAGAATCGAACAAAATATCCGAACTCGCGTCCGCCATTTTGGAATTTGTAATCGTTTTTGACATACCGCTGGTTGAAGTTACCGCGGGCGCATTCTCACCTTGTCTTTGGTGTCTTCACATGTGAAATCCACAACTTATGTAATGAAGCAATAGCATGGACATGTATTCCTGGATGAATAGGTACCTTTCGTAGACATACTCTCTCTTGGGGGAGTGGGGAGGGATGGATGTAATGGAGAGGGGATAAGGGAAAAAACAAGGGATGCATCTATGCCAACTCTCCTGGATTATCTGCAAATTTCCCAGATACATACTGAGTCTCCCGGTTTCCCATACAGATCACCAAATGTTCTGGACAACACACATGAAAATGCATAAAATACATTTTTCAGGCATATTTTGGCAAACTTTTGGCATTTTTGGGGGGAAAGTTTTTTATATTTGATGCATTTTTGAGGTTTAATTTGCACAGCTCTGCTTTAAGCAACTTTTTTTAGGGTCATACAAGGTAAAAATGGTGATGTCCTGGATTTTGAATTTTTTAGGTTGGCATCTCTGGGGATGGGAGAAAGGGAACTGAGGCCTCACGGATACCCTGCTAAATACAGGCCTCTTAATTCCTTGCAGTTTCATTGACAGTTTTTGTTTTCATTAACGAAAAATGCTTTTATTATTATCTCTGCATCAGTTATAAACCTGTTACTGCGCAACATCTATGCCAACTCTCCTGGATTACCCAGGATTCTCTTGAATACAGACCAAACTTCATGGTCTCCAGTAAGGGTCACCAAATCTCCCAGGGACAATGGGAATGCGAAACAAGTTAGGAAGACAGACTTTTACCACTTAAAACAAAGGCTCTGTAGAGACCAAAATTGCTCAATTTTAATAAAGAAAAAAAATGTCCTACAATAATAAAATCAAAACTTCAGAGGAATACTGGGCCAAAAGATTGGCTGTCTCAAATCACAGTTTTTGTCATAGTTGAGTTGAAGTGATGCCTCAAGAGACATAATGGCTGAGGCATGTTTGCCATAGAGTTCTTGCATTTCTGCTTTCCTCTTTGCACCAGGTTGTTCTGATGGAGCACGTGTTGTTGTGTTCAGATGAATTGAACCAACTGTTTAGACAAAACAAAGACAAATCTGGTTAGGAAATTAATTTCTAATGTGAAAGTAACTTTAACATTATCAAATTTATGATTCAGCAGGATGTCGATGCATGTAACACTACTGTCAGTTCTCAAAAGTACTGCTACTCACCTTCAATGTATTCATCTTTGGCTTGTAATATTTCTTGCTTTCCTGACAAATGTAAAAGGAAGAGAAAGGAAATAAATCAATAAGCTTGATTTCTGCGTAAAGAACTGTGTGACCATTCTTTTGCTGAATTTAGGCTACATCTGATGTAAACAGAGCCAGGAAAAATGTTATTTATTACTACTGAACAGTATTCTGATACATGTGGAACATACTTAAAATGACAACCTCAGAGACAGAGAATAAGGTTTCACACAGATAGCATTTGAACTTCACACTGTAGCGTTATCTGTTCAGCTTAAACTGCAAAGTCAATTACATGTAAATACTATGAGTGCTTTCCTGAGATGTACCCGCAAATTGGCTAATAATGGCTGTTACCAAGGGAAATATCTTATTCTTATTACTTTGGTCACCTTTAAGCTTTTAAAATAAATTATCTTCCTTCCAAAACAGGAAAGGAATTTTTTTTGGCATATCCAAGGAACTAATTCCATGGTCCAGAGGTCCTTATTAGTTACATTAATTTTGTATACCAGATAATATGATAATTCTGAGCATTTGGTGTTAGGGAATGTCCCTGTTCTTAATTCTCATCACCTGCATTTTGACAAATATACATCAATATCACAGGGAGAAACTTAGCCTCCTTCGCAACTGTTATTAGGGTTGTCACACAATGCCTCTCTCCCACTTAGGGGAGAAGAAGCGTAGCATGAAGACCCTAATAATGTCTGCGAAGGAGACTATGAGAGACCCAAAGCTGTTCACTTTTCAGCCCTAAATGGTGTAATAGATGTCAACTTACTCTGCTCGCGTTCCTGTCTGTGTTTCTCTGACTGTTCTAAGAATTTTCTAAAATTGTCATCAACTTCCATATGGATATCACTGTCCTCATCATCATCATTGTCGTTTCTGTTATCATCACAATCATCATCATCATCATCATCATCATCAATGCGATCATTGCAATCCTCATCACCACCTGCGCAATCGTCACTATCATTATCCTCAACATTATCTTTATCAGAATCATTGTTCTGCCTCAAACGAAAATCACGGTGATTTCCACTACTACTGGAATACTCCTCCGGCAATCTCTGCCAGGGAGGGCCTGGATACTGCTGTGGACAGTCCTTGCATTGATTCATTTGATGTCTCTGCGACTCAAAGGTGCCTTCGTCATTCTGGCAGCATTCGCAAGCGTCTTCTTCGACCAAACTTCTTTCTGTACACTCGCAGCTTTGATCTGTAAACTGACTGGCCCAAGGATGAGTTCCGGCGTGCAAATTGTGCAAGTATGTGTTCCACCACCACAACGACATTTGATAATAGTAATTTGCATTGGCTGAAGCACACGCAGCAAAATCTTCTCTTGTCCAATGATGGTCTTTGCCGTACTGGTTTTCCTGATTGTGCTGGTTATCCCGTGAATCTGCCATCTACCAAGCTAGCTTAGTGTCTTAGATGGGTATCTTGAAAGTTTAATTTGCTTCAAACCATTACACATCCGCCATTTCGACAAGGCCAGTCTTCTGTGGCTTTGTGGGTAGATTCAGTGCACTGTTTGGTGGTCAGCGGTAAAAACAAACACAAACAAAATGGCCGCTCAACAAAGTCGACACGTGTGTGATTTCAGAGGGTGTGGGAAAGCGTTTAGCAAGGAAATCCGACTGATCGAACACAAGCGGATGCACACTGGGGAGGTAAATTGCATTTTCTTGGTTTGTTAATGTTTAGAGACACGCTTCTTGCCTGCATGACACAAATGATGGGTGTAAATACCGGCATGAACAATGAAAACGTTTAGGGTACGTTTTTGCGCGCGAGAATCAATTAAAACATGCGAACTGCGTTTAGGGAATTCTTGTCCGTTTATTTGTGATCTTTATGTTTTATTTGACTGGCTTATTTTAAATTCTCGTGGGGTTTTATTTTTACGGGGTTTACATTTAGTTTCGGCAGAGGCGCACAACAACAAACCATGTATTCGATCGCGTTCATTGCTTAGTTTGTTTTTGAAAGCGATCGCTCATTCCCGGTTCCTTGCCCTCGGTACCTTAGGAAAGTCTCTGAACATTCAATTTTTTGGCAACGACCCATTGTGTGAAACAGGAAGTGTTTCCAATTCCATTTCCACCATAAATATACACTTTATGAAGGTGGCTTAGGATCCATCCTAAGCAATTTGAACGGGCGGGGAGAAGAGGGGAGTGGTACTGTAGACACTTGTGTGCAGAGTTGGTGGCAGGTTGCTCAACCTTGTTGTGACACAAATCTCTGGTTTTGCAACCCAACAACCGTGTTCCATTGAAAGTGTTTGATTTCCCTAAATGAACATAAATCTAAATTGCAATGTATCCCTGTATTAAGTAATTCCAACCAGGCAAATGAATTTTAAGATTTGCTAAATAGATATCTACCTCACCACTTGTTTATTATTTTGAAATAATAACAGTTTGTTCATCAGATGCATTTATAAATACCAGATGTAAACAACGATGTCAGTAGAGGTTGCCATACATGTAGCTTTATTGATCAGCTGTGTGTAAGCAGTCATTAAAAAACATATATATATATATTACATGTTTTGCATTTTTTTTATTTTCAGAGACCCTGTGTGTGTCCTCATGAGGGATGTGAAAAATCGTTTGTTAGAGCCGTTCATTTGAAGAGGCATTTACTGTCGCACGATGGCGAGAAAATATTCAAGTCAGTGTTACTTTTCACTATTCAATATGCTCCTTGCAGGAATATCCAGGTTTCTTGAAGTTGCTTTTTTTTAGGGTAGCCAGCCTTTTCAATGGGATTCTGTAACCCGAGTGATGAAATCACTGTAATTGCTAGAGGGCTGTTTATCTAGTCATGAGGTCAAGTCGTTAACCTCAAAACCTTTCTGTTTCAATCATCAGTTGCGAGTATTTTTAAGACATACAGTAGTGTGATGCCAATAATTTTTTTTTCATGCTTTGAATATTAGATGCAGCCAATGTGATATGTTATTTATGACTAAGCACAATTCCAAGCGTCATGAACAGAGGGCACACAACAGGCCCTTCAAGGTAAGCTACCAAGTTATTTTATGTATGCCATGAGAGATTTATATTTAATATAAACTAATGGACTGTAGTCCTTTTGGCTTGAGCCTGGGTTTTCAAGAGTTCTTGCCTTGAAAAGCTTTTGTTAAGCTAGACTAGTTTTCAATAACTGGGACACAAGTGGCTCTGATATTCATTATTATATATAGCAAAGAGCCTTTCAATTGAAAATGGCCTGTACATGTGATGCTGAGGCCTGAGTATACAAGCTTTAATTAGCATAAGAATTATGAAGATGCTGACTGTCCGTTTGGCCTTTGCT